CCGACGACTCTTTTCGTTTCACCCGTGAACTGGTTTCGCTCGCTTTCGTTTCGCTTCCCATCGATTTAATCCGCCTTTAAATTTGCTTACTGGTCTTGAAACTTCGATCAAAACCAATTAGACACATGTTATATGGGCGGCTTTCCACTCTTTGACTTTGATACAGCTGCGCCCCGCGTGTGTGCATACAGCACAAAAGGCCGAAGAAAACCAGAAACATTTGACACACCAGTGAGGCCAGTCAAAATACTGTCCGTCATTTCTTGTTCGTTTTGTACCAATCAACTTCTATATCGAGAAACATCAATTAAAATGATCGATCGAGCAACGAAATGAAACAGTTATATATTTATATACAAAATATTAATTGTGAGACTGAATCAGTTTTAATAGGAAAACAACATGTTTTTCTGTTCGTTGCGTTCACTATATATTTTTTTTTATAACTCAATTTTGCTCTCGTAACAGCACGACATAATTACCGCAAATCGATTATTTTCCCATAAATAAAACCATCGTTGATTTGTTTATTGTTAGTGTATATAGTTTACACACTGGTACATTCAAAACAAGTTAAATGCATGTTATAAATCACAGCATCCACATTCAAAATGAAAACAAATTTATACTTCAAATAAAAATATTGAGTGCAAAAGTAAACTTACCAAAAGTAAACAAAAATATTTGTGATTACAGCGATATCAATATCACAGACTAATCAAGGAACTAAATACAGTTGATTCCGCTTAATTGAGACACCGGTTAATCGGGACAGTCGCTTATTAGGGATAGATCCCAAAGAATGGAAACAAAATCTAAGGAAATAGCATAAAATTACTCCGCTTTTTCGGGAAAATAATCCGTTTAATCGGGACAGTAATCGTATGTGAATCTCCGTCCATGGATGCTGAGCTTCAGCCGCATTCATGGTCTATAATGAATCCGGACTGATTGAAGCCGCACAATGCAAAGTATTACTTACTATATAGATATTTACACGTATATTATATTACAATGTTTTTACATGTTTTTGTGAGAAATCTCAATTTAAAAAAATGTTGTATGAAAAATTAAAACTGTTATAATTTATAACTATAATCACAGATTTTTACACGTAATGTAGATTTCAATTCTTCTCGTATATATAAGAGATGATGATGTAATGCGCGTTTCTGGCCAAATTGGGTCAGTTTTATTTTTAAACTTGATATCATTTTCACCTGGTCTCTCTTTTTCTGAGTGTGTATTTGTATGGAATTACCTTTCAAAGTAATTAACTTTGATGCTCGGATTCGTTTCGGGCCGCATGCAGCGCTTTGTGCTTCGCTCGGACACGAATGCAATTTTTACACACAGGAAAAAACTGTTCTTTTACACGAAAAGAAATAAAAACGTAAAAACCACACGTACACACGATGAGCGAACCGTGAAATATTACATAACAGTGTAAGTATAAGATTTCATTTCGTGATGCTTTCATTAATTGATTATTATGTTGAATAAAGTTATGTGCATTCATTTAATAAAAACAAGGAACGTTCAATAATGAAGTAATGAAATATGATTAGAATATTTAAATGATATTTTCAGTAAAAAAAGACTCAAAAAAATACATAGTTTTTATATAGAAAGAAAAAGTAGTGAGATGTAATAAATTAATAATTGATTTAAAAAAAACTATGATTAATTACTAAGTTTTATTTTATTAATCAGTGTTAATATGTTATTCAAATGATATTTATTCAGTTCTTGTATTATAATTTTTATTAAAACATTTTTCTAATTAATAAAAATAGAAAGGGAATATATTTCTTAAATAAAATAAACTGCAATAAAAATGTTATGTTTATTATTTGTAAAACAGTAAAACGTTTTTATAATTGACCTAGAAAAATAACGTTTGATGTTTGATTACAAATTTAGTAATTAAATACAAAATTACACAAATATATAAATAAAATATAAGAATTTGTTATGGATTTGTTAACCTACTTTATTCATATGAATAAAAAATATAGTAAATTATATAAAAAAAATAAATAAAATACAATTTAAATTGCTCAAATTCTGACATAATACTGGAACTAAAAAAAGTTAAAAAAATAAATCCTATTCAATTATCTGTTCTGTTACTTCCACTTTGAAAAGATTAGTAATATGTAACATAGCTAATATTAAATAAATAAAAATACATAACTCAACAAAAAAAAACATATCTACATATTTTAAAACAGAAACAATAACAAATAAACAAATATGTCAATAAATATGTACACAAACAAACAAACCTCTATTCAGTTATAATATTTCTATTTTTACAAAAATTAAAATTATTTAACGTTGTTGAATACAAGCATTAGTTCTAATATATTTTCTAACAAAGTTATTTATACATAATTACAAACAGAAAGTGTGAAACAAAAATACAAATGCACAGTTTAATGTGTTGTAGCCCGTAGGAGATATATACTTTGGTGCTTCTTTGCAGATAATTTATCTTGATGAATAATCGTTGACATAATTGTGTTAAAATTTACAAGAAAATAGGAAAGTAACATAGGAGTATGTAGAAAATATGTAATAGATACATGTTTAAATTAATCAGGTTAGTGCTTATTCGATATAAATCAAAGAAACTATGGTAACAAAATTACCATAGTGGCGTAACTCTGACTCGCGTAAGTTATGAAGTGTTGAGGTTTCAAAAGAGACGATTGCTGCAAAAATCCAGCAAAAGCCAATACATTTGTGAGGCACTGAGATTACGATTTATACGAGCATAGACGTCATGTTGCGAATTGTCATTAATTTTATTTCTCTCCCTATTTTTGCATAGTATATATATATATTTTTAGAAAGCGTGTTTCGGTGCCAAACCAAATGATTCGGGAGAAAATTGGCCGAAGCCTACCTGAAGCTGCGAATGACAAATGGACTTTTGTGTCGGTCAATTGCGAATGTATTCAGAGATGTAAATGTCAGACGCAAAAAAAGGTTTATTTATTGGAGAATGGGGGAAGGTGGAGGAGGGAAACAGCAAACAAAGAAGAGAACAAAAAAAATACAAGCAGAAGAAGAAATCGTAATGAAATAATACTGGTCAGGGGGAGATGAGAGAGCGAAAGTGAATCGTAAATCATTTCAATTGTGCACGGTGTAATTTAGATTTTCTTTTTTTTGTGTGTAGGTTGTTAGCGGCCGACGCGGCAAATTTAAAATTCAAATAGGCCCTTTTGTTAATGAAGAGACTTAATCGTTTTACAATGGGTTTGCGGTTTCCGTCCCCTCGCAGAGCAGGAAAGGAAATGCATGCAATGCAATCGTTACTCTCCTGCATGTGTGAAATTCGATATTTATATTTTCGTGCGAGTGTGTGCACGATGCAATTATTTACTGCATATAAAGATTAAAATAGCATAATACCATTTAATATGCAACGTTATTACCCGAATCCGTATATATCATGATAACGATATTCATAATTCAAGAATTACCATACATGAGTAATGATGCATTAAATACATTATTGATTTATAAATTTGTTATTCAGTGGGTCTGCAGTTTCGGTTTTCGGGGGGTTCTGTATTGCTGCTACTGCTGCAGGCGATGTTACGCTGTGTGTTCTGTTATGCCAAAGAGGGGATTCGAAAGCCACCCTCCATTTATCCTGGTGTGTTTCGGCGGTGGTGCTGGTTTGGGTTGGGCCATGCTTGAAATGAAAAATGCTGTGCGTGTGACTGTTGTTCGGAGGAAGGCACCGCTTTCAACTTTCTAATTACCGACTACAAATCTTAACCGCGTGACACCTGTCACATTCAAAGCGCGAAAAAGTGAATCCCTAAATTGGATTTTTTTTCCATCCCGCCACCCCGACGTTCGCTCAAAGCTCCTCCACCGTTTACTTCACCTACTCCTCCTCCTGTCCCCCCTTAAACATCCTGCAAATGCAGGGAATAGCTTGTCAGATTAGTGAACATCCTTGATGTACATTTAATATTTAAGTGGGCTGAAAACTTCCTGCCTGCCAACTCGAATTATTAATTACACACGTATCATTCGAAACGTCGAGTAATTAGTGAGATTCATTGATAATAATAATCATTGGTTAATTATTTAATTACATTACATATTCGAACTAATTACAAAAATATATATCTCAATCTTCTATAATTGCATCACATTGACACCATTGATAAATTAGAAGTAATTAGTTTTGATAGAAAAAAAGTAATAATTTTTACTTTTAAATTACACATGATGTCTTAAAATAGAAACATGATTACGTATATAATTAAAACAAACATACAAGTAATTTGATTTTAGTATACAGTAATGCTTATAGTTCGGTTTCGATCAGTCTGAATTTTAATTGATAAAGTTTAAAATAATCCGAAAATATAGTACACAAACTTATTTTTTCTCTTTTTGTTATAGTTACTTTGTTATAGTTAATTTCAACTACCTTACTTAAATTGACAGGTATTTACGTATCTATTGTATGTGCCAAGTAACTGAACATTTTTCTTGGTAACTATCATGGAGTAAATTTTATACTGCTACTTTATTATGTTCAGGGTGCTGTTCCCAAACAAAAGTTTAAAAGGTCTCAGAATTTCCCGGCATTTTTTTAATACTTAAACATTGTTATAGAAAAGAAAAAATAGAAAATACAAATATATTTTAGCCAAGTAAAAAAAATATTTATTTTTCAAATATGTTTTGACTACTACTATAAAGTAACTAGCTTATAAAGTTTAAGTTTGAAGACGCTACGTTGCTTAATATTTGTTTGACAGTCATGGAAAACAAAATGATCATCATTATGTAAAACAATACTTTCATTTAAAGCTAATATCAAAGCCTAGCCTAGATTCACTCTGGGGGAGTCTGCTCATTCGTTTACAACAAAGAAATATTGGGTGACAGAATTTAAACGAGGTCGTACCAGCTACCAAGGGGAACATCGCACTTGTTGGACAAATGAGCTGACCACGCCAGAAATGGTGAAGAAAATCCACAAAATAGAATTGAATAACGGTCGACTGAAAGTGCGCGAGCTTGCAGACATGGTAGGCATTTCAAAAAGTGCTATACATCGCTTATTGACTGAAAAGAGATGTCACGATCAAGACAATGCACCAATTCACACGATGACCAAAACCAATAAGTTAATGTTAGAATTGCTTCCTCACTCACTCTATTCACCAGATTTAGCCCCCTCGGATTATCTTCTTTTTCCAAACTTAAAAAAATGGCTCGATGGTAAAAGATTGGCCAACAATGGAGAGGTGGAGTCTGCGGTTACTGGTTATTTTGTAAAGCTTTACGATTCTCAAAAACATGGTATCGAAGCTACAGAACATGACCGGGAAAAGTGTATCGATCTAAAAGAAGACTATGATGAGATATAAAAGTATTTTTTCCATTTTTGTTGGGTCAGGTACTTCTGGGACAACCCTAGTATATACGTTTTAGAGTATTTATCTTTATTCCTATTTTTCATAATATTTTATTTTGATTTTGTTGAAATAGTATAATACTTGAGTCCCGATACTAGGGTTTATTTAAAGCAGCCACCTTCTCGGACGCGAAATCTCCAGTGGGACTAGTGGTTGAGATGAAACTTGACTAAATTGACACCTGAAAAATCGCACGGTGTTTCTTCGTATATATAATAGTTGGTATGTGTGAATATACTATATTAAAGAATATGTGATTTTGTCAGAATATTTTATTAATTTATATTAGATACACGAAAACTTTTCAAATGTATATAATAACTCTCAATAAAACCAAAATATAGTTTATCCAAAAATATTATAACTTAAAGTACATAAAGAGATTTTAAGAAAATTCCTTAATAAAAATAAACTATTAAATCAACTGCTAATTTCAAGAATATATTTGTTAAATGAATCTAACTGTTATAAAAATATTTTTTTACTATTAAGTATTTACTATACACAAAAACACATAATTAAACTTCTTATATAATACAAGTATTAAATTAGATAACCACTGGTTTCCATACAATAAGTTAATTAGTGCACATCAGAATATGTAATAATAATATTTATTGAAATAGTTAATCATATATAATCAATACCAAATAAAAAATAATTAACAGTTACAAAGGACTATTGATCATAGTTTATTAACAATCATTATTCTGCAATACATCAAGTTAAAATAAGATACAAACAGTTAGGTAACTATATCAATCATTGTAAACATTCCTAACAATGGAAAAATATTTTAATTAACTTATACGAAGTTACAAATTTAGAGAAAATAATTATCAAAATCATGAGTATACACCAGAATTATATAGAAGATACTTGAGATGGATAATGCAAATGTTTGAGCTGTAAATCTATTTGAATAGAGCTTATCGACCAAATGGAAAAAAATATTTTAATCTATTTGACTTTAAGATTAAAATTAGTAAACAAAACTGCTAACGTAAATATAATTATCTTCTCTATGTCTATTTATCAAGATATTATGTTATCCAACACTTATACAATTTATTTTTAATTGATATTTGGTTTTCAGAATGAAATAATATTTACGAACAAATATTCATAACTATAAGTAAATAATATGTACATATAGCAAATAGATCAATTTATAGTTAATTTTTGGCTTCGACAAGAGAGAGATTTCATTGTTCGAATTTTAGTTAGTTTAACAAATTAACTCTATATTACAGAACTAGCAAATTACTGTTTTAATTTTATTGGATTATTTATTAAAAAAGCCAGACTATAATAAATATTGTCTTAAAAGTAATAAAAAAATATTAATTTTAGAACATGAATTGAAAATTATATGCATTATTAATATAACAGAAAAGTCAACTACTTTTAAAATTATAATTTGGAATATAAATTAAATTTAATATTAATTATCGGTGGGAATTCCAAATTAATGGCGTTCCCAATATATTCAAATATAATTTCCATATTAACATCCTCAATCTTTCTTTTTTTGTATAAATTTTAAAATAAGTATACGAAAAAGAAATAAATTTTAAAATTAATTAATTGGCCAATTAATTTTAAAGCATCTAACATACTTCACAGATAAGTTCGATTGAATGAACTGGGTCACAGGAAACGTATCGTATAATACAAATATGAATTGCTTTTCAAGATGTAATTAGAGCCACAGGAAGAAATTATCTATAACTATATATATAGATATGCACACATACTTTGAATGGGAAGAAGATGAAACGGGCCGTGGAGAAGAGACAAGAAAAATCTATAATTTTCTGAGCACGTCCGTAAATCAGTCATCGAGCAGCCTGCAACTTTTAAGTTTCCAAGATAAGTAAATAAGTTACGAGCTCGGTGAAACGATCGGCGGGGAATAAACGCTGTTAATTAGGTGCTACCGGATTGATGGGCAGAAAATGAAAATAAGCTCGAACCCATCTACTTTTCGTTACTAATATTGGAACGAAACCGCTGCCGCCGCTTCCTCTCGTCTCTGTGAAAAACGCTCGTCCGTCAGCGGCTTACACGCCGCGTAATTTGTCTTACACGAGAGCAGTCGCATTTAGAAGCAGCACCAACAGAAGCCCACATATCATCTCCAGAAATGCCGAGGAGGTGCAGCATCGGGTTTCCATAATTTAAACATAGTTAGGACGTCGCGTTTGCCATCAACCCCCTACGATCTATTCTGTTCTGTTCACTTTTCATCTCCTCCACTCGCAGAGGGTACACATGTGTTGGATGGATTTTATAAGTCACAGGAGGCCTTACGTAACAGGCGGCATCGTAAAGTTCTGTAATTTTTATTTACGTTCCCTTTTTTTTATATATTATTTTAAAGTCGGCTCCTGGAATATAATAACTCACAGATCCATTACTTTTTATTACCGGCAATGAATATTAACATCAATAAAAATACAACATTTGACGCCTTTCAACAAAATATATTAACTAACATTTCAGTTATCTTTTTTTTTTTGGAAATTTTCCAATTGCTACTACAGTTATAAATATCCATAAAAAATGTCTATACCCTTTATATAAAACTTATATATTTGTATACAACTGAGAATAATTTCAATTGATTAATTAATTTCTTAATTAAACTCATCCGAATCGTCTCATTAAAACAAATTAAAAATAAAATATGCGTATAAAATTTTGACCGAAATTATGTCCAATAAAAATATTTTAATAAATACTACTAATAATAATTAATTAATTCCTCGTTTTAAACGGTACTTTATACGTTTTAGATATTACATGGTTAAAAAAATGATAATTAATAAACAACGAAATTATGCGTTTTTGCATACTTTTCGATTTACATAATGTTACTTACATTAAAAATTCTAATTTGGTATGTATAAATTATATAATTTTACCAATACCTCGCATAGAGCGGCTTCGATCAGTGCGGTTTTTTTTTATAATGGTTAGTAAATATTGAAAACTAAACTAGAAGTTAATTCAAGTCTTTTTTTTGTGCTGTTTATTTTTGCTAAACTAAATGTAAACATGAATTATAGCAACGATCAGTCAATTGGCGGTGTTGTATAAATATTGAATCAAATAATAAATTTTACTTTTATAAAGATAACGGATGTGATTATTTATTATTTTAATGTAGTAAAATTATTATGGAATTTTCTAAATTACTTAAAGCAATTAGTTTTGGAAAAAATAATTTAAATGATAGATAGGATATACGCGTTTTTAGTGATGATTTTGTCGATATTTACTTTATAGTGTAATGTAATAATGATTTCAAAGTACTTATTCATATTGCTTCATATTTGTTTGAATTTAAAGAAATATTATGTCAAGATTATTAAAAGCAGCCACCTTCTGAGGAGCGAAATCGCAGGAAGGACAAGTGGGTTAAATACAAAAAAAAACATTGATACATGTCTGTTAGCATTAATTTCTTTAATTTATTTAGGTCTTTGTGTCCTAAAAATATATAAATGTATGCAAACTTAAGTATTGTATTAAATTTATAAAAGAAAGTACAAAAAAAATATGTTTTAAGGAATTAAATACTTTGATTGCAAATCATTCAGAATTTTGTATTGTATAAACAAATTGATGTGAGATAGATATTAGTCATCTTTAAACTAATTAATCATAAAAATATTTCCTAATTTAATAGTAAAGAAATTAAACTCTAGAAAAAAAATGCAAACTATTAAAATTAATAAAATATTTATATAAGATTTAAAATTCTAAGTAAAATAAGCATGGTAAAATAAGCATGGTAAAATAAGCTAAGGTAATTTATAGCGTTCAAATTATATTTTCCCATAACTTTTATAGTTTTAGCAATTATAATTATTTATGCCATTTCCTTTGAGATTATTAGGACCTTTTTATGACATGATACATTTCTTTAGCGGTAATATCAATAACTTAAGTCGACTTAAATTACAAACTGAAGTTTTCATTAAATCATTAAACTGATAAGGTCACGGTAATAACTTGGCCTTATTAGTTTAATTGGAAATAACATCGAAAAGTTATTGAATTAAAAACATTCACGTGACATGAATTTATAATATATTTATAATATAATTATTGCATTGAAGATTATTTTTGTGCCTGAAATACAGGTGGGCAATAGCCTTTTATAACAGTTAATTATTCTTTTTTACAAATAAATTAAATACATACTTTCTTGTTGTATAAACAAATATTACGATAATAATTATAATTTAAAAAAATATTAATTAATTTTATATAATATTTACTAAACAAAACATTTT